ATATTATATTATATTATATTATATTATATTATATTATATTATATTATATTATATTATATATATATATGTTGTTATTCTTGTCCCTCCTTTATTTAACTATATCCTGTATCATAACATTTTCCCCCTAATAATCAAAAGTTTAACTGTATCTAACTTAGTTCTTTTTTTATTTAACTTTTATATATAATCCAAAGGGATTTCTAATCTTCCTTACATTATACTCATCATAACACTACACATTGTATACACTAGTAATATTATCCTCACTTAATCACTTATTAACTTAAGTGAGTCTCTTAACAACTGTGGCAGAAAAAAAACCTGGGTCGCAAAATGGGGCAAAACTCACTTTAACAAATGTCTCGCTTAACAACAGAAATTTTGGGCTCAATTATTTTCGTAAGTCGAGGACTACCTGTAACTTGGCAACCACTAAGCTGCAGAAATGCTGAAGTAGTCGGGCACTAGGACCTTGAAGTGCTTTGCTCAGAAGTGGTACCCACTCTTGCTGGGAGCAGAAGGCATCACCAGAGTCGCTTGCAGCATCGTTGCTACGCATCTATTGCTGCAGAAATATGGCCAGCCAGACCCAGGGAATTCAGCAGCTGCTGCAGGCAGAGAAGAGGGCTGCAGAGAAGGTGGCAGAGGCTCGAAAACGTGAGTTGGAGCTCCCGGTTGTTAGGGAAGATGCTGGAAGTAGGGTGGAGGCTGACATGCAGTGGAGAATGGCAGCATGAAGTGGAGAATGGCAGCATCTCTGGCAGCTTCTTGTGGAGAGGAATGGCGGAGATATTTTTGAGGAATTCTGGGGCCTTGAAAGGTCATTTCTGCCTTGTCCTTGGACTTCTTTGTCTCCACCCCAGGAAAGGCCAGGCGGCTGAAGCAGGCCAAGGAAGAAGCCCAAGCTGAAATTGAGCAGTATCGCTTGGAACGGGAGAGAGAATTCCAGCAAAAACAACAGGCGGTGAGATGAAGGGGTTTGAGCTTATTTAGCCTTGGGGGGGGATGTTGTTTGATGAAAAACCAATGATGAAACCCAGAGGAAAGGTGGGGAGATGAATAAAAGACGAGAAGGGGATGTGGGTGATGGAGTCGGAGTTTTAAGAAGCCTGATAGGAATTTGGGAGAGGAGGAAGAGAGAAAAGGTGGCACAGGAGTCTGGATAGCTGAAGGCTGCAGTTGGCCTTTACAATTTCCACTGCATTTTAGGATACTTTAGTTTAGTTTAATGAAATTTGTATGCCGCCCACTCCCATTGGGACTCTGGGCGGCTCACAGGCAAGATAAAAGCATTTTTAAAAAAAATTAAAAAAGAAATGCAATATTAAAATTAACACAACATCCATTCTGTCCAAGAGGGGCTGAATATTAATCAACAGCCCCAGGCCTGCTGGAACAGCCAGGTCTTGGCGGCTTTACGGAAGGCTGGGAGAGTAGTGAGGGTCCGGATCTCTACGGGTAGTTCGTTCCACAGGGTCGGCGCAGCTACAGAGAAGGCCCTCCCCCGAGATAGGGAGTTTTGCATCAAGATCAAGGTTTCTGAGACATTTGGTGAGCCCCAAATGTTTTGCTTCCTATTGAAGTCAAGGTATGTAAGACCATAATCTGGCCCCCTTGAAAACAAAATACAAATAAGCCAGGGGTGGGTTACTGCCGGTTCGGTGTGCAAAAATGTTTGCTGTCACCGATGCGGAGTTTTGTCCAGCAGACATATTCACATTGTGCCCAGAGAGAAAAATATCTGCCTCTACCTAGGATCAAACTCACAGCCTTCTGATTGTGAGGCGAGAGCACCACCTCTCGGCCAACACATCACTCTTTGAACTGTTCACTAAATGAATTGTTGACATTCGAGGGCTACTTGTATTAGTGCTTCATTCCTTATTATTTTGGAACAACCTGGATTTTTTTTCCCTGCCCTCTCTAGGCGCTGGGCTCGCAGGGGAATCTGTCCGCAGAGGTGGAGGCTCAGACCCGCAAAAAACTACAAGCTATGCACGGAGGGCAAGCTCGGGGCAAGGACCAGGTTTTGCGCCACCTTCTCACTACTGTATGGAATGTGCAGCCCCAAATTCACCCCAATTACCGCCTGGCTGTCTAAAGAGCCTAGTGCCCCTGCCTGCAGTTGGTTGGTGGACTTCTGATGTGCTCCTTATTCTCAACACGATACGCTTTAGATGCCCAAATACCCAAGTCCCCTATTTCCTTCCTATATCTTCACAGAATCCCACAGGTCTCACAAACAGCCTGTTCTCCCTGATGCTTCTCATTCGTCCTTTCTCCTCCTTTCATTGTATCTTGGATCAAGGCTGTGAATTGCATTTGATAGTCAGAGTAATCAATCATGCCCAAAAGATGCAAAAGCAAGCAATCAACTTTCTATTCGTTACTGGACACTGACCGCACGCACACATAGAAAGACACACACCAGTTTTCAAAGTACATCTATAGATTATTCTCTATTCCCCAGGATTACAGGTAGTCCTCAATTTACAACCATAATCGAGCCTGCAATTATGGTTATGTAACTGTGATGGGTCATTAAGTGACCGCTTCTGATTTTATTATTTATTTTTTTGTGGCGGTCATTATGCAAATGCCATGGTCATAAAGTAAACCCAATGCTTGTTATCTCCATTTTTTTTCCCTGGAAGTAAACTGGAAGTAAATGCCGGTTTCCAACAAAAAAAAAAAGCATTGTAACTCGTGCTTAAGCACCCACAAGCACACTGCAATGAGCTATAAGCAAGCCAGTTGTGAAGTATCCAAAATGCGATCGTGTGGCTACAGCTGTGTGTATGTGAACTTTGAATCTGGATTGTCACTTTTTCAGGGTCCGTCGGAATTTTGAACAGTCGTTAAGCAACTGGACGTAGGTTGAGGACTACCTGTAGTTGTTTTGATTTTTGGTTTTTTGGCTTAGTTTTCGTTTTTAAAGGGGCTGTAAAATCCAAATAGCTGATCCCTATAAAACAGATCCACTTCCTTTCACAAACCCAGTGCTGGATCTTTCCTTCTGTATTGCACAATCCTATGGCACGAAAAGGTATATCCGGAAATGTGAAGGTTGCAAGATTACCCTTCTGTTACTTGCTACGTGTATTTGTGTGCTGACACTGAGAGGTTCTATTTCTACTCTGCTGTACCCTGCTTAATTTGTTTCCCTCCTATGATCAATCATGTTTATCCGCAACTGAACAGTTCAATAAAAGCAGCAGGCAGTGAAACAATGGGGAAAAATGTAGTGTTTTGTTTTTCTTTGACAGTTCTACAGGTATAAGTATAGTTTTTAACTTACGACCACAGTGGAGCCCAAAATTTATGTCGTTAAGCGAGAAATTTGTTAATTGAGTTTTGCCCCATTTTACAACTCTTCTTGCAATATTTGTTAAGTGAATCACTGCAATGGTTAAATTAGTAGCACGGTTGTTAAGTGAATCCGGTTTCCCCCTTGGATTTTGCTCGTCAGAAGTTCGCAAAAGGGAGTCACGTAACCCTGGGACACTGCAAACCGTCATGAACGTGAGTCAGCTGTCAAGCATCCGAACGTAAATCATGTGACCGTGGGGATGCTGCAAATGGTCATAAGTGTGAAAAATGTTCAGAAGTCACTTTTTTCTGTGCCACTATAACTTTGGTCACTAAACGGACTGTTGAAAGTCGAGGACAACCTGTCATTGTTGGTTTAAACTCGTGATGGCGAATCTATGGCACAGGTGGCACGCGGAGCCATTTGTCAGGGCATTTGTCATGTGGTGAGTTTCCATAGGAGGCTAATCCCACCTTTGTTATGTAAAGTAGACTAGCTCAGGCTTTAATGGCTCATTGACAGCGGGGAGGTGCAAAAGCTGCAAACATGTTTCTCCCTTTTCACATTCAGGGAAATATAATATTCTGCCTTCTTAATATTTCGCAGGATATTTCAGTTTTCAGAGAGGTGGCTTTTGACTTCCTACAATTAGACATACCCAATTCCTGCAAGATATGCATTTTGTGTATTTGCAGCTGAATTGTGAGCTGAATTCAAGAAGAGTTTGTAGGCAATATTGGGATTGTGTCTTCAGGCAGAAGGAAGGACATAAAGAAAACAACATGTGGGAAGAAATATATTTTGTTGCTAACAGATGAGATTAAATACACACCTGCAAATTAATGGGAAAAAGTAGATAACAGCTGGTCAATTTAAACAAAACTTCCGTCAACTCAGTGCTCTCTGGTGGGAGTCATGAAATGAACTTGATGAACCTGTTCAGAAATCATTAGAAAAACACAATTTAGAGCCCAGAAGAAGAAAAAAATATTAGGTTGGATCCTTCCTGATTCCTTGGATTGTAAGGAGGGGAATAAATATGCAATTGGGCATGCAGGATTTTGTTACTGTAGCCCAGAGGTGTGCTGATAAATGTTTAAAAACCGGCTCTGCCAACTTCAGTGCCGCCATGGCGCCATGCTGCTAGCTAATGGAACAGCCGATGGGCATATTAAGGATTGTCACTCAGCTCTGCTTTCTTCCAGCTTGCAAAATTCCCAAAATTGTGACTATCTGCTCTTGCAAGAAGATACAGACCAGCTGCAGCACACAATTACTATAGTCTAATCAGTGTTTCCCAACCTTGGCAATCTGAAGATGTCCGGACTTCAACTCCCAGAATTCCCCAGCCAGCGAATTTGGGAATACTAGAACTATACTTTGTGGGAAACACAAAGTATAGTTCTAGTATTCTTCTGTGTTGGTTTCCTATCCTGATTCTTGAAGGGCTGTCAGCTCTCTGGATGTGTAAGACTACCCATAATTTGCAGCTAGCATGCACACTGTTTTTATGACCACATCTCAATACAAGTTATCATGCAAGTCTACATCTAGGAGTCCTTGAGTTGTCAAAGGACCACATAAAGAAGATAAATTAATTTTTAATGGAAAGAGAGAGAGAGAGAGGGAGGGAGAGAGAGAGGGAGGTAAGGTAGTTAAGTATGGAATATATTATACAAATACCAGCTCTCTGATATCACATATATAATTTCCAAACATGTGTTTGTAGCTAAGTAGCTGTCCCTATTAACAGAAAATGATAAGAAAATTACCAGTATGGTAACGTGTCCAAAGTAGAGATAATTTGAGTCTAGTTATTTGAGTCTCGAGGAAGATTGGATTAATAACTCTACGATTTATTGTTTGGGGCAGAGGTTCAGCATCATGCCGGATTGCTGTACTCCAAAGTCACAGCCAGTGAGAATGGAAATAAAATGCCAATAGGCACTGATAGAAATCCCAAGGGTGCTTTTTCAAAAGGCATTCAGACACTTGTTTTTTTTCCCTTGAAGATATTTTGCTTCTCTTCCAAGAAGCTTCTTCAGTTCTTAATGGGGGGGGAGGGGGAGGAAACTGAAGAAGCTTTCTGGATGAGAAGCGAAAGGCCTTCAAGGAAAAAATGAAGAAAAGTCCAGTTTCCTTTTGAAAAAAGCATTTTTGGGACAGCCACAACCTGGATGACAGAGACTCTCCATAGATATCGGTAACTATTAGAAATCTTTATATTTTGCTTTAGTTCCCAAGCTCTTGTACCTTGAACAAGCTGCTATTGGAAATACAAAGGGATGAAGTAGAATAAACAATCAATCCATGGATTGAGCCAAATATTTTAGATTTTAGCAAGAAATTTAAGCATCTCTATTCTGATTGACTCGACAGCTACTTGTCAGAAATCCTATAGGGTCACCCGCTTGATTAGGGGGTTGGACTAGATGACCTACAAGACCTCTTCCAATTCTGTTTTTTTTTTAAAAAAATATTATAAGATTAGGGTAGAAATTTAACTGGTGCTTTCTGTAGAACCACCCCCGTTGAGTTATTGGCCATAATAATGTTGCACAAGAATTACGTAATTCTTTTTCTGAGAACCAGCTACTGGTAGAGCACAAACTTTTTCACATGATATAAATAGAATGATTTAAAAGTGAACCACATGGTTTTACTGACCAATTGTGAGCCAGCACCAGTTTACTCCCATTGGGAGGACGCCTTCAAAAATCCATCCCAAGAATCCTGTATTAAAATAGGATCGAACGAAAACTCACGAATAATAGCATCATTTACAAATTATTATTTTAAAGTATGATAGATGTAATCGTCTTTTTAAAGTTTATTTTTTATCGGGCACTCAGTTAGACAAAAGGCGCCAAAAAAAACACCCCAAGAACCGCGCGGGGTCCTCACCGCAGGTCCCTCCAGTCGCTTCCGGTTACGCCCATCACCTAACGGAAGTGGCTTTCTTTCCGCTGTGATCGCGTCTCGGTATTAACTCGTCGAACTCCTCCCCTCCGTGTAAGGTAAGCTGCTCTTTGATAATCGCCCGTTTATAGGCGCTGCGGTTAGCCATCCGTCGTATATCGAGGCAGGTAAGGTTCCTTCGGGCATTTGCCTTTCCGATTCTTCTTTTTTGGATGGTCATTTCTTCATCCCCGAGCCCAAATTTTACAATTGGGAGCGTGCGCCGTAGACCCTGTCATTGTAGTAAAAGCCTGAAATTAAAGATGGCGCCTTTTTTTGCGCGTTGGGTGCATTTCTTGGGCCGATCGTAATCGAGAAACATCGGCTACCCGCTATTACTCTCGTCTTTTAGGCCTGGTTCGTTAAATCGAGAGATCTCTTGTGCTCCACCCCAGAAAAAACTAGTCGACAAACTAACCTTATAGATACACACTACGGGAGTTTTTGTAACTCCTCCCCCCTCCATTTTTTGAAATAGGCCCTTTATCTGTAAAGGAAGAAAAATCTGAAGTATTTTCTAACGAGGCGAATGCAATGATTTCTGGAGCCCTCCCCCCAAAAAACTGACTTTGCAATACATGATAACATATTTTTACTGTAGTAATTAAGAATTGTTGCTAGCCTGAGCATCCTGCATTTGCTTCCTGTTTATCGTTGGGATTAAATAGCTGCATCTTCTCTTAAAGAGCGGAAACATGCTCATGCATTCATATAGATCAAGTGTGCGGTCCAGGGTTAAATGGATGTAAGGAGCTTAATTCATTAGTTTAAAGGTTAAACTCCCTGAGAAATGCACAGGATCTCTTTCATCCAGGATTTCTTCTTGGCTCCAGGAAGTGGTCAGAAAAGACAGGAGATGGTTTTCCCTACTGACCTTGCTTTGATAGCTGATTTCAGAGTGAGATTTAAGGGAGGGGGGATTTGCAGATTGTTCTTGAATCTGCCTGTTTCACGGAAACATGGAAGCTGAGGTGCGCCCCATGCAGCTGAACTGTTGCAGTACAGTACTTCCAACATCTTTGTCATGCTTTTTGCAAATATTGGGACTTCAGGAGTACTTAGACTTGCAAAGGTTGCTTATTGGTTATCCCTGTCTTAAGACAAAGATTGTTACTTAAATCCTATTTGCAGAGCGTTTACACTTTCATATGTATTACAACACTTTGATATTTCCTACAAAGGGAACATACAGACAGTCCTTGACTTACAACTATAATTAAGATCAGAATTTCCATTGCTGAGCAAGGTGATTATTGAGTGAGTTGGATGTTAAGTGAGTTATGCTCAGGTTTACGATCTTTTTGCCATGGTTGGTGCTAAGCAAATAACTGCAGTTAAATGAATCCTATTATTAAGTGAATCTGGCTTCCCCCTGTGATTTAGGTTGTTGGAAGCCAGCTGAAAGATAGCAGTTGGTGATCACATAACCCTGGGAAGCTGCAACCATCTTAAATACATGCTGCCAAGTGCCCAGATTTTGATCATGTAACACTGGGATACCGTGGCAGTCAAAAGTGTGAGGACAGATTATAAGTTATTTTTTTCGGTGCCATTGTAACTTTGGACAATCACTGAATGAATGGTTGTAAATCTGTGTACAATAGTAGTACTTATGCCAGCACAGTCATTTGGTATAATAACAATGGATGATTGATAGTCTGCGGTATATTGATTCCATTGTGACTAATCAGATCTTATGTGCAAAATCAGGTAGTTATTGGATGGCAGTAAAATTAAACTGGATCTCACTTCCCTTTGGTGGCTGTCTGGATTTTTGCAGCCCAGATCTAGGTTTCCAGCTTACAAGTACTCTTTACGGGTAAACCAGAATTCATCTTCTTTTTTTAATTATTAATAGCAAAATCAAGTAACAATTGAATCCTTGTTTGCAAAAATGTTTGCACGTAATGCTAAGCCACGATATAGCTTCCTGCAACCAAAGATAATATATTCCTGAGGTGTCCTCAGATACTTTCCTTTGTATTTCACCTGGCTTTTTAAGAGATTCTGGGAATATGAAGATGGCATCAATTGCTGAAATTATTTATTTGCAGGAACGAGTTAACAAAGCTCTATGCAATGGGAGTATATCTTGGTTAAATTTATTTTTGTGGTAGAATGGTTTAATGTGGTAGCCATTTTGTGAATAGGCAAGTCTTTTGTGACAGCCGTTGTGTGAGTTTGCTTATCACTTGCTCTCGAAACCCCAAATGTGCCCCTAATCCTTGTGAAATGAACTTAAATCTTGTGCCATAATAACTTGGAGTAGAGTTATAATGCCTTGCAATAGAAAGGGCCTTGGGCTAAGTTATGGATGTAGAAGTCTTAGTTTGCAGATGCCTCATAGGATGGTGCTTCAACTTGACTGCTCTCTTGAAAGGATTAGAGATCACTGTGGCTTGTAATGCTTTTTTTATTGGTGCTCTGCAGTATATTGATAATGTTGGGAATTTCCTTTCTAAAACACTGGCTCACTTAAGCCTTTATCCCAGTTTTTAGAGAGGGAGGCATCACCATGACCGAGAATGATGTTGACAATGAGCTGCTGGATTATGAAGATGATGAGGTGGAAACCCAAGCAGCTGGAGAAGGGGTAGATGTCCCATCTAAGAAAGACGTCAAGGGATCCTATGTCTCCATCCACAGTTCTGGCTTCCGTGATTTCCTATTAAAACCAGAACTCTTGCGTGCCATTGTTGATTGTGGCTTTGAGCACCCTTCAGAAGGTGAGTTGAGTGACTTGTTCCGTGGAGAATGTAGGCTTCTGCGATCTCAGTGGCACCAGGTATTAATTCTGTCCTTATTCTCAATGCAGTGCAACACGAGTGCATCCCACAGGCAATCTTGGGCATGGATGTCCTGTGCCAGGCCAAGTCTGGCATGGGCAAGACTGCTGTCTTTGTTCTCGCTACACTTCAACAGTTGGAACCAATAACAGGACAGGTATGTCAATGAAATATAGACACCTCCCCCCACACACACATACACGCAGATGCTAGAGGGGCACAGATGTTTGAAGCTTGATCACACAGGTGGGCTAAGAATAATCAGAGGTAATGGGAGAAATTACAAATTATTTTTGCCCTCTTTCACAGGTTTCTGTACTGGTGATGTGTCACACGCGTGAACTGGCCTTCCAGATTAGTAAAGAATACGAACGGTTCTCCAAGTACATGCCCAGTGTCAAGGTGAGAGATAGGAAGTTGTTCCTATTCTGAATTGTCAAGATTTTGCTCTTATTTACCATCATGGGAGTGAACAAATCCAGATAATTATTTCTTTGCATATGCCAACTCGTGAGCCTAGGCAGCTCACAAAAGCCATGTGACACGAATTATTATTATTATTATGCTCATTAAATTAAAAAAAACACATATAGTGATGTGACCTTAACTTCTTTCCAAAAATATTACAGGGAAAGAGCCATTCTAACCTCAGGAGGGAGGATTAACATTGGGCTGCTCCTAAAAAGGAGCATCTTCCCCTTTAATTTCTCATAGGCTAGAGATTTTGAGCCGCTTCTAGCTGCCATTGTTGAGTGGGAAGGCAGAATGTACCTGGGTTAGAAGGTACCAGTTGCCTTGGTGAGATGGGTGGCATAGAAGTTAGATAATTTAAAAAAAGATATGAACCATAGAAAGAACTTAACGGGTGTTAGTGCCTGAAGCTTGGTCCTGCAAAACCAGTGTTGTTGTTCTGTACTATGTTGACTACAGCAAGGGAGCAGCTGTACTCAACGATTGTAGCTTCTGAATTGACTTTGAGAGCAGCCCTCAGCAAAATAGATTGCAGTATCCAAGTTCAAGTTAAGGACACATTACTGATACCATAGTCACCCAGTCTAGAGAAGGCTGCATTGGATAGCACAGCGTTTCCCAACCTTTTCTATAACGCGCACCCCTAGAATGCTTCTGATATATTCCCACACCCCTTACAAAAGTAAAAAAAAATGCATATAATTATGCATATACACTATGATTTTGAAACTTCAAAACCCAAGTTTCTACACCCCCTAGAATAACACCTTGCACCCCCAGCAGGTCCTAGAACCCCCGGTTTGGAACCCCTGGGATAGCATAACTACCATTTACTGTTCCACCGTGTTTAGGACATGAGTCCTAAACAATCCAAGTTGTTAACCTGTTATTCTAGGGGTAGTATTAGCTTATCCAGAGGTAAAGAAGCATTCTGGAAGCTGATGGATTCTAAACAAAACAGCATCTCAATCTTGCTATGATCCATCTTCTTGTCTGTTCCATCTCATCTGTCATCTAGGCCAGTGGTTCTCAACCTGTGGTCCATGGACCTGGGGGGGGGGGTTCAACGTTGTCGCAGGGGGTCCACAAAGGCTTGAAGAAATGTAATGATTTAAATTTGAGTTAAGTCTTAGCTGTCCGTGGCCGCACAATGCATTTAAAAGGAGTCCATGGTAAAGAAAAGGTTGAGAACCACTGCTCTAGGCACTGGAGAAAGACTTAACATCTCTTTCTTGGCCTGGAGCAAAGATATAAAAATAGGAAAGGATTCAAAAATTTTCTTGGGCTGTGTCAGATTTGGCACAATATTCTGCTAGCTGCCACCCCTGAAAACTCAGGTGGTTGATTAAGCCGAAGACAATATTCTTTCATTTTTCTCTCCCATAGGTAGCAGTGTTCTTTGGGGGCCTGTCCATCAAGAAGGATGAAGAGGTTCTGAAGAAGAACTGCCCCCACATTGTGGTGGGGACCCCGGGCCGCATCCTGGCTTTGGCCCGCAACAAGAGCCTTAACCTCAAACATATCAAGCATTTCATCCTGGACGAATGTGACAAAATGCTTGAGCAGCTTGGTGAGTGTTAAGGGTATTGTGGAATAGAAAGAAAAGTCAGCTTTACAGCACTCGGAAATCTACGTTGTGCCCTTTGTAGTTCTATGAAGGCAAGGAAGAATAGAAAGTTTCTCCCTTCTTCTTAGACCTTTGTTACCTTATTTTGGGTATTTTATGACTTTGTGTAACTCAATATGATCTGTAGAGAAGATAAAATTTAAAAAATATATATTTTAATAGCAATAGCATTTAGATTCATATATCGCTCCATAGTGCTTTATAGCAACGACATAGATATATCCATTAATAATAGCAATAGCACTTTGACTTACTGTATTTTTGGAGTATAAGACGCACTGGAGTATAAGATGCACCAAGATTTTGAAGAGGCAAATTAAAAAAACAGGTTTTTGCACTCTGCAGACTTCCCAAAAATAGTCCATTTTTTGCCCAAAAATGGGCACGCATAGCCTTTAGGAGGATTGTAGAGTGCTCCTGGGGGCTGGCGGGAGCAAAGAATGGCCCGTTATTCACTCATTTCTGCCCTCCCCAGCCCCCAGGAGCACTCTGGAAGCTTCCTAAAGACTCTGCACGGCCATTTTTCCAAAGGGGCATGATTTCGGGAAGCCAAAAATGTTGTATTCAGTGTATAAGACACACCCAGATTTTCACCCTCTTTTTGAGGGGAAAAGGTGCTTCTAATATTCCGAAAAATACGATATATACTGCTCCAAAGTGCTTTCACTCTGAGCAGTTTACTATTGTGGGTGTGTTGCCCCAACAATCTGAGTCCTCTACCTCAGAAGGATAAAAAGCTGAATCAACCTTGAGCTGGTCAGGATTGAACTGCTGGCAGTGGGCAGAATTAGCCTTCAATACTGCATTCTAACCACCATAGCACCAGGGTTTGCAATAGCAATTAGACTTACATACCACTTCACAGCCCTTTCTAAGCGGTTTTACACAGTCAGCCTATTGCCCCCAACAATCTGGGTCCTCATTTTACCCACCTCGGAAGGATGGAAGGCTGAATCAACCTTGAGCCGGTCAGGATCGAACTGCAGGCGTTGGGCAGACTTAGCCTGCATTCTAAACACTGCGCCCCCAGGGCTGTTTTTTCAAGGCTTTGAGATATGTTTGTGTATGTTTAACCCAAGTAGCTATTCTTAACCTGTTGGCCCTTCTTTCCTCCCAGATATGCGTCGAGATGTCCAGGAGATCTTCCGCATGACCCTGCATGAAAAGCAGGTCATGATGTTCAGTGCTACTCTCGGCAAGGAAATCCGCCCCGTGTGCCGCAAATTCATGCAAGACGTAATTAAAACCCTTCTACCTTCTTTACCCACCTGGCCGGTCAGCCTACCTCTCTCCCTCCCTCTCCCCATCCAGGGAAGGAGAAGGGGGCCGGCGCGGAGAACACTACCACTCTTTACAGCTCATTGGGCTGCACCCTTGCTGCCCCTCACCTAGCCAGTTCTGCTAAGGCATCTGTAGGAGACACATATAACTTTCCGGAAGATCATTCGGGTGACGCTAAGAGCCTCCTTTGCACACACGAGCGACAGCACCTCTCCCAATAGGGTCAGAGCAGCACTTCAGCTATGATCTTGATTTTGCCCTTCTGGCACACTTAGCTTAGAGATCATCTACATTGTACTCAGGGCGGATCCGCCCCAGAAGGGATCCTCTTTATGCTTTCCCACCTGGCAAGCGGCGCAACATGGGCAGCACTCCCTTGCTGCCCCAGTTCCCTCCCTCTGCGTGGAATTTGCCTGCTTGTGTCAGCACCGTGCACAGAAGATCCTGGCCCACACACGCACCCACGTTCAGAAGATCCTGGCCCACACACACCCAGGCAAGTGGTAGCCTTTTTTTTTTCTCCTCCACCCCCACCCCGCCCCCTCGCTGCCCTGCGTTAACCTGATACACACATTACGCACAAGACACAACCGCGGCCTGTGTGTTCCTGATCCCGCCCTTCCTTGCCCCGCCCCTCCCTGCCCACGCATTCTGGAGACCTGCGGCGAAAAGACTCCCCGAGGGATCCGAACAATCGGAGGCAGCCCAGTGGAGCGGACGCCTGGTGACCCGGAGGAGAAGTTTTATCCTTTTTTTGGAACGGGCAAAAAAGCGTTATTTTCTGTAACCCTCTTTTCTCCTTCCTCCCCCTGTGCCATGTGGGAAAGGGATTTATTTCAGAGCCTTCGCAGTAGGGAGGGCAATAATCTGGGCATTTCCCCTAGAGGAGTCCCTAAAATTATGAGGCAGAAAAGTTAACTCTTTAGCGAAGAGGTGGGGAACTCTGGCCCCTTTTATGACTTGCGGACTTCGACTCCCAGAATTCCTGCTAGCTCGGGAATTCTGGGAGTTGAAGTCCGCAAGTCATAAAAGGGCCAGTGTTCCCCACCTCTGCTTTTAGGGTGCCATAATTAAACCTGGAATCAGTTGGCCAGGGGCCTTTTGAGTTCAAAATCAGGCGATTTACTGGTCTTGATAGGAGCAGATCCAAAAGGATGTCTTCTCTTAGAAGGAAGGAAAGGAATGGCAGCTCCTTTTCTTTGTTGTCCAGATCTTTCTTATCCCTTTAGGCCAAGCAGGCTAAGATGCAATCATCTGCATAGTTAAATGTCTTGGAGAAGTGACAGGTGGCAGTTAAGGTAGCTGGAGTATTTCAGTAAACCTTTTTCCCCCCTATAAGTAGGTGTTCTCCATGTGGTTTTTTTTTTTTTTTTTAATTTCAGGCAGTGAAAAGGGGGTTATTGAAGCTTTGAATCCCTATTTGGAAAAGGGATTATTTGAAGACTACATACAGAGTCCAGATGTGACTCAAAAATTCTTTTAAGACAACAATATTAATGTCTTGTAACAGAGATATATTTTAAAAAGGTGACGTTAGCTCTCATTCACAGAACGTTTTGCAGGATAAACTAAGACGCATGCGGGACTTTTTTCTTCTTTTTTTTTTTTTTTTTTGAGTGTTAATTGTCGGAAGGAGTTAGCCAGCCTTTGTTTTCTGGGCCTGTTCTAAGGAACAGGGCCCTTGTGGTAGAGAAAGTTGCTCCCGTGCACATCTGTGCTGCCTGTCCTCCCCCTGTCCCCGCCAAGCCCAGGTCAGTCTTAACCTTGGTCTAACTGGCCCTGGATTTGCTTCTCAGCCTATGGAGATCTTCGTGGATGACGAGACCAAGCTGACGCTGCATGGTCTGCAGCAGTACTATGTCAAA